TAACAAGCCCGGGGCAGACACTACAGCTAACGGAGCACTCCGGCTCAGAGCGGCCAAATCCTGGTCTGCGTGGCCCAGCGCGGCACAGGTTTGCTCTCAGGCTGTTCGGGGACAACAGCCAGCGGCTCACAGATGGTTTGGAAGTGTCAAGACCCTGCGTTCTGCAGAGCGGGTTCCCCCAGGATGTGGTTGGGCCGGGTATGCACAGCCGGGGACACTTTAGGGCCCCATACCCAGCCTGCAGCGTGATGGCACGTGTCTAGACGCGTCTGTTGGGGAGGAGGCCCACGCTGCTCCATGCAGCTCTCTGCCCATAATTTATTTTTTGTCTTTATAAACCAAGTGGAAATGCTGAAAATGGTGGACTACCCCACGTTTGCTCTGTGTGTACCTGGTGTGACGACGTCACTGTCAGCCCAGAGGCATTGGTGGTGCTGGGCCCGAATCCGCCGGAGCTTTGTGGAGACAGAGGCCCTTGTGGCAAGTACAGAGTGGAAGACACTTCTTCCAGAACAGCTGGCGCCCGGGTCCGCAGAGCCTGCAGAGTTCCCCTCGCCGGTGGTGTTTGGGGAAGGGGACTTATGTGCCGTCCTGCGGCCCACGGCCGTCCACTTCCCTCCTCGGCCTCGTGAGTTCTCTGACTCTGTCCGTCCACAGTGTGCCTCCCACTTCCTGCCTGAGTCACCTCTGGCTGCCCCCTTCCAGGCTCGAGGACCAGGAGCTCGCTGCTCGGCGCCCGTTGGGCATCTGCAGCCACGCTGAGTCTCACCAAGAAAGAGCTCCCCGTGCTCCTGTGGTTTCTCTCAAAATGCCCCTCCTGGGCTGTGCTCCCATCGGATTGTCACACGTCTTGCCTGTGCGTGTATGGCACTCCTTCAAAGTGTAGAGAAGTTAGTTTCTCCCAAAACCCAAAGGCCCTTTAAACAGGCGATTTCTGTGGAGGTGGAGCTGGCTGGAGGCAGGCGGCTCGGGGGCTGGGAAGAGCCCGCGTGAGCCCAGCCCAGCGCGGGCTCCCAGAGGCCGCACGATGTTCTGGGGCCGGCCGCATAGCGCACTGATGACTAGACGGCCTGTCATCCCGGCCCCGGGAGGAGCGACCGTTCTCAGGCTTGGCCAGACTCCGCGCGCTCCATTCTTTCCGTCCCTGTTATATGGAATGCACACGATGCCATTTAATTACTTCAGCCCCTTTCTTAAAGGAAAAAGAATCTGGACCGGTATTCCACAGGCACTAGTAGTTTGAAGGTTAACACAGGAATTTTCTTTGTCTGCCGACCTCACAGTGGTAAAGGTCTCTCTTGTAGCTTCGCAGCATTAATTAATTCCAAGTGCAATTTTGGCAGGCAGGCAGAGCGTCTCAACAGGCTGTTTGGAATGAGTTCTGTTTTTTGAGGCCTTCCGCTTGGTGAGACTTTCTCTGAATCAAAAAGTTGAGTGGGAACCAGCCTTTATTTCGACTGTGTACACAATAGAATGCCCCAGCTTTTGTAGATCAGCTTTTGTAGATCAGCTGGTCTTGGGCACAATTAATTATATGTGCATATTATTACAGTGCTTATTGGGCAAAGGCCCAGAATATAGACATTTTTGCTTTTGCCACTGTTTGATTGTGGACTGAGAAAAGGTAGTTCATTCAGCCTGTTTTTTAAAAATTAATTTCATTTTGTAATTGACAAAGAAACATACATATGGGCTACGTAGTGATGTTTCGATACATACAACGTGTAGTGATCAGACCAGGGAAACTAGCACATCCGTCACATCATCTCGCGCGGCTGTCATTCAGCCTTTTGAGGGGTGGTTGATGGAAGTGCAGGACACTTGGGGTGGATGGGTGTCCTGCCACACTGTGGTTGTGACCCAGGTGGCTCCTGGTGCCTCGAACAGTGGCCGGTGCAGGCGAGACGTGCTGTATGTGAGACTCACACCAGCTTGCCAAGACTGTGTATGAAAGAAGAATATAACATACCAATATCATGTATCTTGATTGCATGTTAAAATGATAGTATATTGGATATTGGGTTAAGTAAAATATTTTGTTAAAATTAATTTTACCTGTCTTTTTTTTTTTTTTTTTTTTTTTTTGAGACAGAGTCTCGCTTTGTTGCCCAGGCTAGAGTGAGTGCGTGGCATCAGCCTAGCTCACAGCAACCTCAAACTCCTGGGCTCAAGCAATCCTCCTGCCTCAGCCTCCTGAGTAGCTGGGACTACAGGCATGCGCCACCATGCCCGGCTAATTTTTTCTATATATATTAGTTGGCCAATTAATTTCCTTCTATATTTTATAGTAGAGACGGGGTCTCGCTCTTGCTCAGGCTGGTCTTGAACTCCTGACCTCGAGCAATCCGCCCACCTCGGCCTCCCAGAGTGCTGGGATTACAGGCGTGAGCCACTGCGCCCAGCCTTTACCTGTCATTTTTTACGTATGAACGTGTGGGTGTATGAAGGCCATGTGAAGTGGCCCTTCCGGGCTGCCTTTCTGTGGCCGTCTCGTCGGTCGGGTCTGTGCAGCCGGCGCAGGGGCTGGGCCCGGCCTCGGTGGGTGTGTGAGGGCCTTTCCACTGCCTTTAGGGGACGTGCGGTTCTGCAGGTGCTGGCGCAGGGCTGGCCCGCCTCGTGGGTGTTGAGGCTTCCAGCTGCCTTAGGGGCGTCGGGTTCTGCAGGAGTCTGGGAGGTGACCTGAGTGGGGTGTGTCCCCAGCAGTGCCCACTGCGCTCCCCGCCGCGGGCGGCCGGCCAGGGTGGGGCTGGGGGCGCGTCACCCCGTGTGAGACGCAGAATGAGTTTGAGGCTCCGCTGAGATAAGAGCGACAGCGCTCTTGGAGCAATACCAGGTGCCTTGCACAGGTCTCCAAACTCCTACCTTTTATTTAGAACAGCGGGGGGATGAAAAAACAAAAAACAAATTGTGTGGTGCGTGTTTCCTGGGAGGATGGGGGACGGGGAGAGACGGATGGAGTGCGCCACAGCGGCACTGGCGGCGTGGTCTGACCAGCAGTGATCAGGACTGTGGGCAGCTTTTGTTTTTTCCCTGGTTTCTGATTTTCCACATGCACCGTTATCATCAGAATGAAAGCAAGTGGCCGTGGAGGCGGCAGGGCTCGTGCGTGGCTGGTGGGGAGCGTTCGTGTCAAGGGTTCTGGCGGCCACCTGGGCTTCCCTCGGGGCCGAGTCACAAAAAGCCCTTCTCCCCAGCTGTGGTCCTGAAGGACGTTTCAGTTTAAAACAAACTTAAATCACATTTTAATGCACTTGACAAGGACGGGCTCAGAGAAGAGACTGGGCACAGATCCGTGTCCCCACCCGGCGACACCGGGGCGGCCTCCTCACGGGACCTGCGCGGCCGCGGTTTCCAGGGGGCAGGCGAGGAGGAACCTGCCGCCGGTGGAGAGCCGCGGTTTCTTTCCTCATTATGGCAGGGCTTGGGCCCCGGCCATGTGAGCTCATGGGAGAGGGAGGTGGAAAAGACCTACTGTATGAGGTCACCGCCCCCCAGCCGCTGACCCCACCGTGTACTTTCCAGAGCCCCATCCAGTTTTCTAAGTCATGACTCAACTGATGGAGTTTCCATCAGCTCCCAGAGGGTGAGACTCGGCTCAAACCAGGGGTTTATGCGTCTGTCTCATGACAGAGATCACCGCAAGGACGCGTGTTTGGAAAGAGCGACGCGGCTCTTCTCGCCTCCCTCGCTCTGCCGCGCCCTGGAGTGACCCCAGCCCCCACCATCCGAGGACAGGGGTGGGCTCGGTCGGCGCAGGCTCCCCTGTGCGCGGCCACCCTGGCAGGGCCCTTTCCGGTTTTCACAGCTTGTTCGCATTTGTGATCTCATGTGAGCCTCGCGTTCCCGTGGAGGAAGTTGGATCTGACCGCCCTGCCCGCCCTCCTGGCCACCTCCGCCTTTGTCCTGTTTCTCGTTGCGCAGGCGTCGTCAGGAGCCTTCGCCAAGGCTTCCGGTCAGGGCGGGCACGGGCCAGGAGGGGCAGGAGGCAGCCCAGTGACCAAACCCCGAGCTGTCTGCACCCGCCAGGCTGCTGCCCCGCCTGCCACACGGTAGCACAAGGGCCAGGGCACCCAGCTCCCCGCTGTGCTCAGGGCCCCTGCCCTCCGCTGGCCACGGCCCTGCCCTCCGCTCGCCACTGCCCACTGCCCCTGCCCTCCGCTCGCCACTGCCCACTGCCCTGCCCTCCACTCGCCACTGCCCTGCCCTCCACTCGCCACTGCCCTGCCCTCCACTTGCCATTGCCCACTGCCCTGCCCTCCACTCGCCACTGCCCTGCCCTCCACTCACCATTGCCCCTGCCACGGGGGCCGGGCCTGTGGGGACTCAGTACCCAGAGAGCCTCCTGTGGGTCAGCGCCTGTGCGTCCTTTCTCCTGACCTGACCAGTGATCTGGAACTCTCCCTGAAATACGGGTACATGTTCACTGCAAGTGGTGGGCCAGTAAAATGTCTTCTAAAATGTGTTCCTGTTGGTTGCCAGGTGAGTATTTCACGTTGTTAAACAAACCCAGGCTCAGTGAGCGTGCAGGTGAACCAACACTCTGCAGTGAGATTCGGTCACGGGCCAGCAGGGTCAGAGCAGTGGGGCTGCGCGTGTCCTTGGCCGGCAGTGCCCCAGGGACGTGGCCCTGTGGCACGTGGCATTCCCGTGGCAGCACACACTGTTGCCTTGCCCAGCACAGCCGCCAGGCCCGGCGCTGCCGGCACTGCCACACACGCTCTGCCAGGGGGCTGCCGCGCAGTTCCTCCCCCACGCGGGGCGTTGGCGTTTGTGTGTGAAGCAGCTCACTCCTATAGACCAGGGACACGTTTTACTTCTCTTTCTAAACCCTGTTCTGCCCCCTCCGCCTGCAGCCAGTGCCTGGGTGCAGACAGCCCGGAACGGCCGCACGCAGAGGGCCGGTGCGGTTGTCCGGCACCCGCCTCGGTGCACGGGGACAGCGGGCTGGTGTGCGGAGAGTGCAGAGAGGCAGCTCACGGTGGTCTTGCGCTTCCCTGCAGATCCTGAGGAGGATGAAGGGGCTGGCCCTGGACGCGGAGACGGAGCTGGAGAGGCAGGACGAGGCCCTGGACGGCATGGCCGCGGCCGTGGACCGGGCGACCCTGACCACCGACAAGCACACCCGGCGGATGAGGAGGCTGATGTAGCGCTGCCCTCGTCCCGCAGGCCTGCCCCGCTCCTGTCTCCACCCCGCACGTGCCCCCAAGACGAAGGCCTGGCAGGCGGTGCTCTCGTGACGCCCCAGGGGAAGCGTCTGCCTCACCTGGGGCCTGAGATCCGGGGCCTCGAGCCAGCTTGGCGCTGCCTGCCCGGCGAGGGGCGGGCAGCCTGGCCCAGCGCTGAGGCTGCGTCCTCCTCTGCCGCCGTCTCTGTGAGCGTGAGAGGAAGACGTCAGTCCCGGGGCTCTCCCGGCAGGTGTCTGAGGCAGTTCTGTGAGTGGGGCAGGGGGCAGGATCCCCGGGACGGCCCCTCAGCCTCCAGGGCACAGGCCTGCCCGCCACATTCCCCCCGTCCCGCGGGTTCTCTCATTACCCTGTTTCTAACCAAAAGTCAAAACAGCATGACTGTACTTTAAAAAAAGAAAAAGTGTTGATTTTGCTTCCACAGCTTTATTTCCATCCAGAAATAAAAGGGAAGTGCTAGTTTGAGAACTTTCCTTAAAGATGCATGTCAGTGTCCCCGCCCAGTGGTTCTGTGTGTCCCGGGGCCCTCGAGGATGTGGGGTGCACAGCTGTCCTGCACGGGGAGGTTGGGGTGGCCCTGGCCAGCGGTCCCGCCCCATCACTGCAGACTAGGACAGCCATGCCTCGGAAGCCCTGTCCTCAGGCAGAGTGTGACCCTCTGCAGCCCTCCCAGGATGGCGCCCACAGTGCCACCCAGCTGGTGTGTACAGCCTCAGTGCCCTGGAGCTGGATGTCTCACAAGCTGGGGCACCTACAACAGGGATCGTTCCCCTAGGTCTGAGACCAGGAACTCCCAAGTCAAGGTGTCCTGTGCTGTGCTCCCTCCAAGCCTCAGGGAGACCCTGCATAGCCTCTTCCAGCTCCTGGGGGCTCTGGGCATTCCTGGGCGTGTGGCTTCATCCTCACATGGCTGATCTCCCCGATTCTCAGAGGGACGCCTGTCCTTAGGCTCAGGGCTCACCCTAACCCGGATCATTCACTGATTATACCTGCTGAGACCCCATCTCCAAATAAGTGCCCGTCCTGAGGCTCCACGTGAATTGGGGGCTGTTGTTCAAGCCACCAAGGCCAGCTGCACAGGGACACTCAGCCTGGGTGACACTGCAGTCCAAGGAGACATTGAAGGCAGCATTCCAGAAAGTCACTGTTGGGAGTGGTGTTCATGTTGTCCCCTTTTAATTTGGGGGGTTGTTTCCTACTCTCTATCTCTTTTGGTTCATACTTAGCAACCTCCAAAGGGGGATTCAGGCTGTCTCTTGAAGAGTCCTTATTCTTTATTTTTTTTTTCCATTTTCTTTTCCTATTTTTCCCTTTTATTTGTGTTAATTTATGGGGAGGGAGTGTAATTCTGTTGCAGCATAGATTGCATAGTGGTGAAGTCAAGGTTTTTACGGGATCCACTGCCTGAATGATGAGCATCACGCCCGCTGGGTAATTTCTCTCCAGCCCCCCTCTGCTCTCAGTACTGTGTGTACCTGTCGCTGAGCTCCCGCTTACAGGTGAGCACACCTGGGAGTGTTTTTCCATTCCTAAGATAGGTTACTTCACTTAGGATAATGGTCTCCAGTTCCTCCCAAATTGCTGCAAAAGGCATTAATTCATCCTTTTTATGGCTAAGTAGTACTCTATGGTATACATACACCACATTCTGTTAATCCACTCATGAATTGATGGGCACTTGGGTAGATTCCACATCTTTGCAATTGTGAATTGTGCTACTATAAACATTTGTATGCAGGTGTCTTTTTGATAAAATGACTTCTTTTCCTTTGGGTAAATACCCAATAGTGGGATTGCTGGATTGAATGGTAGGTCTACTTTTAATTCTTTGAGAAATCTCCATATTGTTTTCCATAGGGGCTGTACTAGTTTGCAGTCCCACCAACTGTATAAGCATTCCTTTCTCTCTGCACCCAAGCCAGCATCTGTTGTGTTGGGACTTTTTGATGATGGCCATTCTGGTAGAAACAAGGTGGCATCTCATTGTGATTTTAATTTGCATTTCCCTGATGGTGAGTGACTTGAGCATTTTTTCATATGCTTGCTGGCAATTTGTCTATCTTCTTTTGAAAAGTTTTTGTTGTTTTCTTTTCCCTATTTTTTAAAGGGATGGTTTGTTTCTGTTGTTGAGCCGAGTTCTGTGTAGCTCCTGGACCTCAGTCCCCTGTTCGATGTGTGGTTTGCAGACATTTTCTCCCGTGCAACAAATTGTTCACTCAGCTGACTGTTCCTTTTGCTTGCTATGCAGAAGCTCTTTGATTTGAGTCCCGTTTGTCTATTTCTGTTTTGGCTGAGGCCCTTCATTCTAACGCTGACGGGGAGCTATGGCTCCTCAGTCCTCCTGGGAATCCCAGGGAGGCAGGCGCTGGCCCAGGCCGTCCAGGGCAGCTGACCCCAGCGCCAGGTAGGGGTAGGGATGCTCACAAGGCCGCCGCCCAGCCTGGGGGTGACACACAGGAAAGGCCGCCTGCCCAGACACCGGCCAGAGGCCGTGGACTCACATGGACGCAGCCCATGAGGAACAGGATTCCTCCCAAGAGCTGCATGTGGGTACACACTAGGGACTGAAAAACTATGCATGTACAAGTACCTGTGTATACATCTACATGTGCGCACACAGACATGGATGTGTACACACACCCAAATGTGCACGTGTGTACACATGCACGTACGTGTACATGTATGTCATGCATGTCCACAGGTGTTATGCATGCATACATACACATCTGTGCATGCGCGTGATATATATGTGCACATGTACATGTGGCTGCCTGCACAGACATCCCTGTGCACACTTGTACTCCATGGATGTGCACACATCTGCACGCATGCCCACACACCTCACCCCCAGCGTCCCCCCAGGCAGGCTGGCAGCATCCCCACAGGGTCCGTGCCCTCCCGCAGGGCAGCAGGGCCAGGCCCGGCCTGAGCCAGCCTCAGGTGGTTGCTCCCTGTCCACCTCCAGCTCGAGGCAGTTCTGAGCAGCTGAAAGGAGCCCGCCTGCCCCCTGTGCTGGATTCTGAGCCCAGAGTGCCTCCCGCCCAGTTTCTGGGCCGTGCCCCTGGTGTCCAGGCAGCACCTGTTCTATGAGCTTCCGGGGCCATGCTCACCCACACAGTGGGACATGGGACCAGCGTGCAGCTACACCTGGGAGGGGGCGTCGGGCACCCTGGAGGGTGGGGCTGGGCCCCAGGCGTCCAGCACCGGGCTGAGCTGTCAGCTGGGACGCATGATGCCAAGGGGTTCGGGAAGGTGTGTGAACGCATGTAGCCGTAAACAAGCTGTTCTGCGTTCTCCGGGGCCCTCTCCTGTCTAAAAAGCAATGAAGTGGAGAGCAAGGGTCTATTTTGGAGACGTAAGAAGGTTATTTTAACCACTTCGGTACCAGCGTTGACTATAGTAGACAGCCGCAGATGAACTCGAGCATTGACTTTAGCCGACAGCCGTGATATGACTTTTCTAATTTTTCATTTATCAGAATAAAATTGTGAACATTTAAAAATAACGTCAGGAAAACATATATGTGCATGTTACCTATTCTGATGGACATGACAAGTACAGCTGCCTGTTAAGTAAAACAAGCTTTCGGTGCTTTCGAGCTTTCCTCGACACACGAGAGCAGGACGGACCCGTCGCCCGTGCACAGCGCACGCTGCCGTGGGGACTGCGAGTGCCGGTGTGGGCGAGGCGTCGCGGCCGGCGAGCGCCGCGCCGAAGAGGTTAAGGAAGGAGCTGAAGGCACTCACTGCATTTAGATCTTTGCTTGGGCACATAATTTTTTATCGTCGACCCTGCCCAAACAGCACAAAACAGGATCTAACTTTTTAGAAAACTGCGTAAAACTCCCAGATTGGGACACATTTGCCAAAACCCCTTAAAATACAGCAACTGCATCCACCTCCTCACTGTACCCACCCACGGAAACCACTCATGCTGTTCATATTTTCTCTCGTGTGGAGACTCCTGTGTCCACTCTCACCGTGCACGGGACCTCACAGTGTGGGGTGGGGTCTGCCCTCTCCAGTCCCCTCACCGTGCATGAGACCTCACAGTGTGGGGTGGGGTCTGCCCTCTCCTGTCCCCACACCGTGCATGGGACCTCACAGTGTGGGGTGGGGTCTGCCCTCTCCTGTCCCCACACTGTGCAATGGGGGCGCTTCAGTGTCTTGGGGGTCTTGCCCTCTGCCAGTCCCCTCAGCCGTGCATGGGCCTCACGTGTGGGGTGGTGTGGCCCTCTCGCTGGTCCCCACACCAGATGCACGGGCTCACAGTGTGGGGGTGGGGTCTGCCCCTCTCCTGTCCACTCACCGTGCGTATGCGGGACCTCCAGCAGTGTGGGGTGGGGTCTGCCCTTCTCCTGTCCGCCTCACCGCATGCACGGGGCCTCACATGGTGGGGGGGTCTCCTCTCCTGTCCCCTCACTGTGACGGTCTCAGTGCACGCGGTGAGGGGACTGGAGAGGGGCAGGACCCCACCTCCACACTGTGATTGGGTCGTTTCCGTGCACGTGTGAGATTGTGTGGATGCACATGGTGTAGTCTCCAACGAGAATATAGATGTTATGAACAGTTCGCTGTATTGTAGTCGGTCGTTCCGTGGGTGGGTACATGAGGAGGTGTGATTTTGTCGATGTTTGCATTGTTGGTATTAGGTGGTTTTGCAGAACATGCTGTCCCAATCTTGGGATGTCGTTTACACGCAGTTTTCTAATAAAGTTGGTAATCTCTGGTTTTGTGGGCTGTTGTTTTTTTTTGTGGCTCATGTGTGTCTGTACGATAATATTATGATTGATTATGTGCCAAGCAAGATTTCTATATATTGTCTCTTTGTGAGTGCCTTTCAGCTCCTTCTCTTTAAACCTCTTCGGTTCGTCGTCGCGGTGCTGGCGACCGCGACGGCCTCGCCCACACCGGTGCGCTACTTCTCTGTCAGTTCCCTTCTCTACTGTGGTCGAGTCGCGCTGGTGCTCGCACGGGCGACGGGTCCGTCCCTGCTCTCGGTGTGTCGAGGAAAGCTCGAACAGCACCGAAAGCTTGGTTTTGACTTAACAGGGCAGTGTACCTGGTCAGTGTCCATCAGCAATACGGTTAACCATGCCCACTATATATGTTTCCTGAAGTTATTTTTAAGATGGTTCACAATTTTATTTCTGATAGAAAATGAAAAAATTAGAGAATGTCATATCGACGGCTGTCGCGGGCTCAACGGATCAATGCTCGAGGTTTCAGCGGCGGCTTTGGTCTTTACTATAGTCAACGTCTCCGGTAGCCGAGTCTTGTGGTTAATGGAATGAACCTGTCTTAGTCTCTCCA